CCTTTTTTTTTTTTTTTTTTGGTGGCTGTTTAGCATCGAGATGAGCAAGAAGAAGAAAAAGGAAAGAGAGTGCTGTGTGCTGAGACGGGAATCTCAGAATACTTGGGAAAAAACCCTGTGTAGAAGCAGAAAAGCGTGCATTACACATCTTGGCATTTTTCCTCCAAGCTATATTATTTCTGAGTCCTTTCCCACAGTTGTGTTGAAGGACTGTGGTACCCAGGGACTCATGGTTGTTTGACTCCTTCTGTTGTCTCTGCCACTACCACAAAGGAAATACTGCCAGGATTGGGGGAACGGAGGGAGAGTCAGTCAGCTCCTTATCCTTCTTAGTATGCAGCTGGTCTCCCACTAGGAAGGTACGCTGAGGATACATGGCCCTCAGGTCTTAAATTGGTCTCAGGGCTTGGTGTTACCTGGCTCTGTTATTATCCTGCGTAAATAAGAGCAGAGGCTATGTTTCATGCCTTCTGGTATTCCACTAATGCATTTATCATAGCATTGAGGCACATGATAGCTATGTCAGAAGCCTAAAGAAATAAAAGTTTGGTTCTGAAAAACAAAGTGTATATTTCTTATTTTAATTAATTTTTAAACTTCCAGTAGAATTTCTTTAAGCATGGCTGTTTCTTCTAAAATTTGAGATGTGTCCTAATTTCTATGATTTATGCATTTATCTAAGATAGTTGATGTCTCCAAGATTTCTTATTATATGGCTTTTTGAGACTCCCCAGACTCTTGTTTTATTTAATCTATCCAGAATCTTTTCCTCATGCATACTTTTATGTAGAAAAATAATTATTTATTCATGGAGAACTAACAGCAGGGAAAAGAAAAGGACAGATATATGTGACACAGTGACCTCTATGGGAACACCCACACTATTCTAGCCTCTGTAAGTAGAAAGGAGAGATGGTTCTTGCCTGAAAATATCTTATGATAATACAAATACAAAATAGTTAAGTCCTCTCTTTCTTGTCATGTGTATTTGAGTAGCTCTACCTCATTGCTGCAAGTGTAGGCAATGGGGATCATCCCTAAAAAAGGAGTCAAGGACTTCTTGAATCATTCTAAGCCCTAGTAACTTGGTCCTTCTTGGTTTTCAGATATATTACATTATACTTCAGATATACTACAAAGTAGGGCTATCAACAATCTTTCAGATGTTGACTTAATCCCATCACATACTGGCATGTAATTGAAGTATATTTCTTATTGACAGAATGCTTTTGTCTCTCTCCAGGTCATTCTAGTTTTAACTACCTTCCACGTACCTCTGGTAATTATGAGTTTTGGACAGTCCAAGCTATATCGAAGGTGAGATCAACAACATATGTTAAGGGTATTTGACTAAGTAACACATTGGAAATATAGGTTCCCCCTTTTCTAGACATGGTGGAGTGTAACAGTAAATTTAAAAGATCTCCTAGCCATCTCAGACTTTCACCAGACTGTCACACTTAGCACACTTTTAAACATCTACTTAGCCACTTAAGGAAGTATGAAAAGGGGCCCAGTTCCAAGGAGGTTAGTTTGATCTGACTGAGGGGCAGAACAATAAAGGAAGATGAAGGAAGAGTCTATAGGGGGGTGTGTTTATGTTAATTTAAATGGATATTTATTTGCAGGAAGGTAATATGGAGTATAAACATCCTACTATTTATTATGAGCACAAAATAGTTTTTTTTTAATCCCTAAAATGAAACTCCTCATTGTACCTTCCAAGCAAATACTTAACATTTTGAGGCGTAAACAGACCGTTTCTAGATAAGAAGGAGGTTCTCAGGTCAGACCTACCAAAGTGCTTTGTGTAGTGTTCACACTACCCATGACAGAGGTAACATTTTCTGAAACCATAACCTATATTATGACATTGACAAAGTTTTAGAGTTGTCTTTTCAAAGGTACAGCTCTCTATACCTAGGAAGTTTTACACTATTATTTCATTAAATATGTTTCCAATGCCTTTTCCTTTCTCCTTCCCCTCTGGAACACCCATGATTCAGATGCTTGTGTGCGTAAGATCATCTGCTAGGGGCTGGCCCGGTGGCGCACTGGAGAGTGCGCCGCTTGGGAGTGCGGCGGTGCTCCCGCCGAGGGTTCAGATCCCATGTGGAGACCGGTTCCCGCTCACTGGCTGAGCGCGGTGCGGGCGCAGCACCGAGGGTTGTGATCCCGTTGCCGGTCCCCGGTACGGGCCCGACACCGAGGGTTGTGATCCCGTTACCGGTCAGTAAAAAAGACAAAAAGGAAAAAAAAAAAGATCATCTGCTAGCTCTCTTAGATTTTCTTCATTTTTAAAAAATTCTTTTTTTTTTTTTTTTTTTTTTTTTTT